ATGACAGAATTTACATTTTTGGATGAAATATCCCTTTTAGGCATATATTGTTTTTGAAAAGCAATAAGAAAATATTTGACAGGAATGTAGAGTAGCTTATCTTGTGTTATCTAACATGTCAATTTGCATGTGTACATCCACAGCGCGTTTTTAAAACAACTTTTGATGTTTCAACACTACCTAGAAATTCAAAGGAAGTGTCAAATGTCTTAACGCTGAATTTGCAGAGAGAACAGAACTTTTTTTCCCTGATAGTGTTGAAGATTTGTTGTACAAATGATCTGGAATTGAAACCATCTGTGAACATGCAGGAGATCGGCTTATTGCTCAATGAGACATGAGACATGATAAATGCTGCGTTTTGACATATGGAGGCGCCAAACGCAAAGTTGCGTATTAAAAGACACAAGGTCAAGGCGATTTCCAAAGCTGGAAAGAATCCAGTCGCCTGCCTCATTGCTTTCAAGTCTATTTATGAATTTAGAAACCAACAACTCACATGAAAAATTACCATATTTGTACTATAATGTTTTTGAATACTAAAACACTTTGTTAATAAATGCCACAGCACACTGTAACTAACCGATAAACTGTAATAAATGCTGTAGTAAACTATAGTCTGTACTACAGTGAACTGTGGTGTATTGTGGTATAACATAACCTATACTTGCAGAAAATGTAAAGGGATAGACCGTAAAATAAAAAAAATGTCACAATTTACTCACTATCACATGTTCCGAACCAGTTTGGTTAACACTTAATTTAATATGTAAACTAAACATTACTTTATATGAACTAATGATGAGTTAATGCAGGTGTTAATCATGAACTAACGTTAACTACAACATGAGTTATATGTGAATAACTGCTACCTTAATTAACTGCTTGAACATACTTGTTTGTTAATTGATATATGAATTACCACATTAGTTTATGCTTAATTTAACCATAACAAACTCATGACATGTTAATGTATAGTTATATTATGACTTTACTTGGAGGGGCACATCATCATTAATTCATTCTTAACTACTCATGAACTCCTTATACACATCCCTCTTGGGCGTTTACATTGAATAACAATAGAAGATCAACAGTTTAAACACAGGAGAACACGAGTAGTTAAGGATGAGTTAATGATGTTCGCCTTCAAGTAAAGTCATGAGATAATTATACATTAACAGCTCACGAGTTCTTGTTGGTTATGTTTAGTTTAAATTTACATGTTAATCAATACATTAATTAACAACATGTTAATTAAGGCCATCATTCACACATGAACTGTGAAAACATAAAATGTGACTCATGTTGTGACATTAGTTCATGATTAGCGCATGCATTAACTCATCATTAATTCATAATAAAGTTATGTTTGTTTACATATTAATACATCATTATTCATAATTGTTATTGTTATGTACGCTCATTATTCAATATTGTAAAGTGTTAACCCAGTTAGCAACAGGAGAAATAAACTCAAAATGTTCTTCCTTCTGTTGAACAAAAAAGAAGATATTTAGAAAAATGTTAAATTTACCATTAACTTTTATAGTATTTGTTTTTCATTTGGATGACAATATTCATTTATTCATTTTCTTTTCGGCTTAGTTCCTTTATTAATCTGGGGTCGCCACAGCAGAATGAACCACCAACTTATCCAGCATGTTTTGCGCAGCGGATGCCATTCCAGCTGCAACCCATCTCTGGGAACCACCCATACACTCTCATTCACACACATACACTACAGACAATTTTGCTCACCCATTTCACCTATAGTGCATGTCTTTGGACTGTGAAAGAAACCGGAGAACCTGGAGGAAACCCATGTGAACATGGGGAAAACATGCAAACTCCACAGAGAAATGACCCAGCCGGGGCTCATACCAGTGACCTTTTTGCTGTGAGGCGATTGTAATACCCACTGCGCCACCGTGCTGGTCCTGATAATATTAAACTGTATTCAAAATGTATTCTTTTGTGTTCAACATAAAAAGAAAAAAACACTTAAGGGTAAGTAAATTATTTAGGGGTGAACTACCTCTTTAATACAGTATGGGTAATTTGTTGTTACTAGTTGTATCATCATGGCAACTATAGGATTACCACCACAGATTAATTAAAGTACACTAATGTAAACACTAAAGTATTTACTATAAATAGGATTTTTTTTCACATGCGATAAATTGATTTAGAAAACTGTTTTTAGTAAGAAAATGTAAACCATCCACATTTCATCTTTTGTGTATGTAGATCCTTAATACATAGATTAATACTGATTTGAAAATGTAAAATTTACTCAGACCATTTAAATATTAGGCAGCTCAGCGCTAAGTTAAAATGTATGATGTATATATTATAAACAACTCTATAACTTTAAATGCTGTGTTTAGGCAGATGAATTAATAATCTTCATATGTCTAAAAGACACACAAGTCCATTTTGATAAAAAAGTAAGCATCTCGAAAAATGAATGCTAAGCAGAAATGACACCGCATCATGAACCAATGAATGGATTGTTATTGTAAAGCCGCTCCGTCTCTATGAATGAAATTCTACATCAGGTTTTTCTTTTAGCTGACAAGACTCTATATGTCATTGGCAAAATATGTGCACTTCTAAAATGTGGAACTGGGTAAAATTTTAAATATGACGAATTGATTATAAATTATTATCGCTGTGAAGTCTGTAAAGATGAAGGGTATAAAAAGTCATGCGTTAATTTTAAAACCACACATAAATAAAATCCCTTAAACAGCTCCATGTTCCAGATCCGACATGCAATTTACCCTCCAGTATTGAATTTGAATAGGAGTGAGCTTGCTGAAAAAGGTTGCTATAATTAATGACCTCACTATAATTCAGGTGTGTCGTGGTACAAACGCACATTAAAGGGATAGTTCACCTAAAAATGAGCATGTCCTCGCACTCAAAAAGTTCTAAACTTTTTTTTCTTCTTCATGCTATTTTGTGTTCAAGAGAAGAAAGAAACTCAAACAGGTTGGGAATAAGGAGGTTGAGCAAATAATAATTTGCAGGTTAATTAATCCTTTTAAATTTGCTTTACCAAAATGATGTTTGTCTCTCTGTGTATCTTAATGCATTATTTATACTTGTCTCTTCTTAAAATTACTTTCTTGTACATGTTTTTATTTAATAACGTACGCTCATGCACTGTCAAAAGGGTTATTTATTTTACTTTTAAAAAGTTAACTTTACTTACAAAAACAAATAAAACCATCGTAACCTGGAACTGTTAAGTTGACCTAACTTTTATGTACATAGTAATAATACATAATATAATTATTTATAATAAAATAAAATTATGATAGCCACATACTGTTCACTCTAGTGTTATGGAGCAACAATACTAAAATAAATACATAAAATATAAACATATTCAAATCCCATTTATGTATGTTGTACTTTTAAAAGCAGTTTCATGAAAAAAAACAGAAAAAATTTAATTTAATATGGCAAAATTCATAAATTCTGAAACTATATGTAATTACATTGTAACTGTACAGTATGTATCAGTTGTACCAGTATAATTACATTGTAATTGAAAGCTGTACATATAATATGCCTCTATCTATCTATCTATCTATCTATCTATCTATCTATCTATCTATCTATCTATCTATCTATCTATCTATCTATCTATCTATCTATCTATCTATCTATCTATCTATCTATCTTTCTTTTTAATAGTTGTTCATTTGTTTCAAATAATGATGATTACAATAAGCTTGGCCAATTTAGTGGATCTATTTAATTTGTTCATTTATTTATTTATTTATACAAATCAAATCAAGATTAGCATTTCAGGTCACAAGAGAGCAGAGACATGAATTCCATGAAAAGTCTAAGTTGGTTTAGTGCGTTTATTTAAAATAACCCATATTTAGCTATTAAAATGATTAAAATAAGCATAACTGGCCCTGCTGGCACTAGGATTTATGTAGTTTACGTAAAATAGGCCTATTATGTCTGAAATTTTTGTTACAAATATACTTTTTGTTTTAAATACAACAAACAAAACAAAAATCCTGTCAGCTTGACGTTTAAGAGATCAATAGTGATCTTCTGGAGGAACGTTAGCTGTACTGTCCGCTCCGGTTTTCCAGTCCATGTTTTGTGATTCCCTCCAGCCTGGCGTGTTTCTCAGCGAGAGGAGCCGAGTCTTGTTTACAGCGGTGATTCTACACAGCAGAGACCGACAGCAGAGTCGCGGAGGAGTCCGAACGGCACTCCACAATCAAACACCAGCCTCACAAACCATTTATATCAAGCAGTTTTTGCGGTGCGGAAAACCAAAACCCACGCTCCGGGAGCTGCTCACTTTTGCACCTCGACAAAATGATTTTTTCCCCCACCGCAAAACAGACCGACCGTGAGAGCGCGTGAAGACGGCAGGGGAGGGCGAGCAGTTGCTGAAACCATTTTTGTCCTGGCGGATATTTTGGATCGAGCCCTGTCGTGAGGCATTCATTCATACATTAACACGCTATCCGAGTCGCCTGGCTCTTCGGACGTGACCTCAAAATTCCTCCGTCCATCAGTACAGCGTGATTCATCAGACGAGCACAGGCTCGCGCACTGAAGGTGTTTTTGTTGGAGGAGAAGCCGCTCGTTTGGCTGGCCGTGTTGCCTGCCTGCGCGTCCCTCTCGGGCTTTCAAGAAATGGAGGCTGAAGATGCAGATTATCGGTCGAATAAAATTCGTGGCTCAGACCCGATTGCATCATTTCACTTCTGGCAAGAATAACAGCATGTTTTAATTGATCTGGATGTTTCCACTAAAGGAGAATTCTGTCATTATTACCAGAGATATTTTATCTACTCCATCCTCGCCTCCCGTTATCTTTACGGGTAAAGGAACTAACTGCTCATCCAAAGCAGATTTTTCTGCACTTTTTTGCTTGCTTACTAAAAGAAGCCTCGCGTTTTTCTGCAATTTCACCTTTTTATCTGTATTTTTTTGGGAATAACCGATTGTTAGGAATGAGATCTGGAACAGCGAGGGATGTTTGGACCTTATTTTGGGGTCCTGCGCTGTTTCTCTCCACCATCTGCCTGTGGTGTGCCCGTGGAGAAGGTAATTCATGCTTGTTTTATGCTAATAATATAATTATTACACTTCACGTCGTATTTTCCTGTAGGCTTGTGTTATGAAAAGCGCATCCGTCGGCTCGTAGTGTTTGTGGACTCATGTTACGTCAAGCGTGAGTTTACCTGCTTCACATGTCCAGGTACAGGGCCTAGTAACACACGACACAATTTATTAGTGAATAATACCTTACGACAATATTAAATATTCACATTTTTCTAGACTAACACCAAACTTGAGTTATTTTTATCGTAATTGGTGTTTCTAGGCCCATCAGTTAATTGTCGTGACATCGGATGTGTTGTGAGTCTAGTGTGCTTTATGAATTATTCATGAGCTGGATCACGTTAGTATTTAGAGGCTACGTGAGAATTGGCTTATATAAAGCATTTGCCTAAATAATGCGTGTGTTTCATGTCGTATTGAGCTCAGAAAAGGTTAAACGTTATTCGGTCATGTTAAGATTAGCTGAATCCGCTGAGTCTCCGTCGAGCATCACGCAGTGAAGCAGAGGTGACTGTACTGACCATGTGCTTGTTTTACGTTTCTCCGTGTCCTCAGGAGGGTCATTTTTTTGAATCTGTATTTTAAAATTGGATACAATATTCATTTACGTATTTGCCTGCTAAATAGTGTAAATGAAAGTCAAGCTACAGGATATCTTTTTTATAGAAAACATGCAACTCTTTCAAATCAATTAATTTTAATTAATGTTTAAAATTATTTGTTCATGTTGTTGATTTGTAGTGCTATAAACTCGCTTACTTTAACTCCAATGTAAGAAATTACATTTTAATAAATGAAACTTCATTTGAATCATTTAATCTCCTTTTTTTGTTTTACAATATATATATATATATATATATATATATATATATATATATATATATATGGGTCAGTGACAAAACAGGTTTGGCAAGATGGGAAATTTAAAAATCTTTTACAAAGTTGATTTAAAAGCATCCGTCAGATATTTTAAAATGTACAGATTGTATTCATGTTGATTTTATGTAATTAAAAATAACATTTACACCATTTTTTACAGACATTAAGACTGAATGCAACTGAAAATGTCAAATGGTGTAACTGCCAAAAATTGTGAAATATTAAATAATTTACTCCTCCTAGATGATATGCAAGTGTACACACTGAAATAAATACTTCATTTTAAAATACCACAATAACATTTATTGTATTCGCATTATCTCTAAATGTACATTTTAATGGGTTTTTGCAATATTCGGCCAGACGCATGCTAAAAACACTTCTGGTTTCTAAATAATCTTTGACAAATTATGTAAAAAATGTTAAAAACTATTTTATTACACTAAACTAAGTGTTTTAATTTTAATTTCACATTATTTCCATGTACATAATTATATTTTTATGTAAAATACTGGTTACACCAATTGACAAAAACCAGTTACACCACCTGACAGTGTTGCTTCTACAGCCAAAGATTTTGAAATTGACAATTAAAATCAATTCAAATTAAGAATGATAGTCAACAATTTCAGTGGGATTGTCATTGACAAATGTGTTTAGAACAATGAAACCAGGTTGCTGAACTTTAATACACCAAGTAATAACATCCTTTATATTAAATGTGTGGCCCTCATCAATAGAATATTAACAAACTAAAGAAACATGTTTAACATTTAACACCTTTTCCATCACTGTTTCTTTTCAGTTGGCTTAATTAAAATAAAAATAAGTAGATGATATTAGAAAAAAATCCACTATTTTACTTTTAAGCTATTTAGAAACAATTTGCCAAACACTGTACGTAAATCACTAGTACGTAAGAACTGCTGCTTACTCGTTGTTGCCTTGGTGCTGGGATTAAAGGCCAATTTTTGTAAGCATACACGACTGACTGACAACAAATAATTTCATGAGTGTATCCACAACTTATCCACAAACTATTTATTTTTATACAGTTAACTTCAGAATTATGCAGAATTATTATTAGTCCCCCTGAGCTATTAGCTCCCCTGTTATTTTTTCCCCAATTTCGGTTTAACAGAGAGAAGATTTTTTCAACACATTTTCATCACATAATAGTTTTAATAACTCATCTCTAATAACTGATTTATTTTATCTTTGCCATGATGACAGTAAATAATATTAGACTAGATATTCTTCAAGACACTTCTATACAGCTTAAAGTAGCATTTAAAGGCTTAATTAGGTTAACTAGGCAGGTTAGAGTAATTAGATAAGTTATTGTATATCCATGGTTTGTTCTGTAGACTATCGCGGGGAAAAAGCTTAAAAGGGCCAATAATTTTTACCTCAAAATGGCTTTTAAAAATTGCTTTTATTCTAGCCTAAATAAAACAAATAAGACTTTCTCCAGAAGAAATTTTTTTTATCAGACATGCTGTAAAAAAACCCAAACAAAACTGATTTCAACTGCAATTCATTTGTTTAGCAACTTCTGACTTGTTCTTCACAACTTTTCATCATTAAAGTTCCTCCGAGTCACCTCCAGTTGTTAATAATAATAGTACAACAGCAAGCGCATCAAGTATGAAAACCTCCAAAACTTAAGGCTGTGTGCACTCAGTCTATAGAGGCTTGTCAACCTTGTTTCATTTCCCATGTTAATTTTTTCTTTTATTTAAAAAAGAAATTCCCAAGTGCTCTTTAACAGAGAGAATATTATTGTCAACACATTTCTAAACAAAATAGTTTAAATGACTAAATTCTAATAACTGATTTCTTCCGTAATCTTTGCCATGATGACAGCACATAATATTTGACTAGATAATTTGTAAGACATTAGTATTCAGCCTAAAGTGACATTTAAAAATGTAATTAGGTTAATTAGGCAAGTAAGATCTATTGGCCAAGTCATTGGGTAACTGTGGTTTGTTCTGTATTTAAGAAGGCTAACAATATTGACCTTAAAAACTGCTTAAACATTTTAAAAACTGCTTTTATTCTATCCAAACTAAAAGAAATAAGACTTTCTCAAGAAGAAAAAAAATACTTACATTTCAAAGGAGGGTGATACAGTGGCTAATGTGGTTAGCACAGTTGTCTCACAGCAAGAAGGTTGCTGGTTTGAGTCCAAGATGGACCAGGATGGCTTACTGTGTGGAGTTGACATGGGTTTCCTCTGGGAGCTCCAGTTTCCCCCACAGTCCAAAGACTTGCGGTATAGGTGAATTAGAAAAACTAAATTGACTGTAGTGTATGAATGTGTGTGTGAATGAGAGAGTGTGTACATTATATTGTGTGAATATAAACATGGATTAACATAAACAAAAAAAAAACATTCATGTTGTGCAGTAAAATAATTTTATCCTATGTTTACAGAGCTTTAATAGTAAGGTTGTGGATTAAGCACCTATTTCTCAAACAAAAATAAATAAATAATCTACACTATGAACACAAATAGTAGTTTAATTTATGTCGCATTTTTGATCAGCATCATGAACTAATGATATTTGACTAAATTGACCCCTGACAGAAAGACTCCTGCTATATGAGTCAAATGGTGTAACCAGTTACACCCCTTGACATTTCAACTTAAAATGAAATTTGACAGGCATTATCAATAACATCTATGTAAGCACATGGGCTTGGTGGGAATATTTCAAATTTAACTTTTAAATATAATACTTATTTTTATAATTATGAACAATTATCAGTGCATTTCTGGGGTCTTACTATTTGACATGCATATCTAAGAATAGCTGACCATACCTTAAAAAGGTCAAAGTATCTCACATTTTAAAAAGAGTTACTAACCTTTGCATGCAGCAATTAGTCTTATCAAGAGTTCTTCTCTGTGATTCAATTTCCTGTCTAACTGTCTTGTGCACAATATTAACAAAATGGCTCAATAAATGGTGGTTACACCATCTTGACATTTCAGAAATTTGAGGTGACAGAAAAAATTCCCCAAATGAATTATAATATTTAAAACAATTGTGCTATATTTACCTTTATTTACTATTAAATATGTCTAATGTAAAATTATGCCAGACTAGCCGATACAATGTTTCATTGAGGCTTTCACATTTTTTAAACAAGGTAAACTATTTGGTACCAATTTTTTTTGGTTACACCACATTGACATTCTTGCAATAATCCCCTAAAAATTTTCTTAAAATGGATTAAAACCAAAAAATTAAACTTGGTCCTCAAAATAGAGAATGTATGCAAGTAATTTGCTTATTTATTTTGAAACTGTAACCTACTTGAATTTATTTAAAAGACATGGACACAAAAAAATGAGCGTCACGTCATTGACCCATATATATATATATATATTAAACCTTTTGAGGAAACTGATTGCAACAAACCATTTAAGTTTAAAAACGAATCCTAATGAGTACTGTGAGCTTAATAAATTTGAGTAAACGAAGCAATTTGAGCACAGCAAAACCCAATAAATAAAGAGAACTTAAACTGAGTACTGTAAAATCCAATGAGTTAAGGCAACTCAAACCATTTAAGGAAACCGATTGTTACAAACCACTTGAGTAAAAAAAACGAATCTATACAAATTATATTTGGAGAGTTAAAGGGACAGTTCATCCAAAAAATGGCTGTTTTACTTCCCCTCAAATTGTAGGTGATTTTCTTTTTTTCTGCTGAACATAAAGAAGATTTTAGCTGAAACTGTTGTCCTTGCTGATTTATAAAATGCAAGACCGCATCTAAAAGCACTTTGTCAAGAAAAAAATGGTACTTTAAACCTCAAAAGCATATACAAGCTAAATCAAAACTGATATCTGTGGTTCCTCCTGATGGCACATTGAGGTCTTATGTTGCGAAACAATTGGTATGTGGAAGAAAGTGTTATTTACAACATTATTAATTTTAAGCGGCAGCCTTGGTAAATGGTCCTGAACATGTTCACGTTAGTCTGGAACGAGAGCTTCTTATCATCCATGAAAAAAAGTTTTAAATCAGCTTGTATGTGAGGTTGCATCCATTCAGATGTGATTGTGGGATGAAACTCATGCATTACA